TATATATTACCACACTGAATGAAGTGTTTGTTCTGAAACCTGTGAGCATCACTAACACAGATTGGACAAAATATACATATAAAAATCTATATTTTTCTCAAAATAGTCTTTGACAAATTGCACATATACACTTCACAGATATTTCCTTAGAAAATTCAGGATTAAATATTTATATCAGATAAATAAATAAATGACTAACCACAACAAAAATAAACGTTTGGCGGTTTTTAGCCTATTCGTTAATAATTAATACAATCATTAAAACATTTCTCACCTCTCAATGTAAGCTTGTGAGTGCATGTGTATGTAGTCTTGCGCATGCTCATGTGTCTGTGTGTGTGGTGAAAGTATGTGTGCACGTGTATCAATAATGACAGCGTCATATTGCTAATCACCAATCAAATATAATTGGCACTCTTCAAACCAAAGCTTATAGATGACCAAAGATAAATGTCATACAAATGCTTGCCTCAAACATGTACCTTTGCATGGAATTATTTCGAAAAAATTTAATCAAAATCATAAGAACTGCACTGATATGTGGCGCGCTGTTGTTATCCTTCGCTGGGCACAATCTCCACATTATGAAAAACCCATAGGGGAAGAAAAAAAAAAATCACAGATCACTCATCAACTATGTCTGTCCAAGTTCGGAAATGAACGAGGCACTTTGGCAGGAGAAACCAAAACCCACCGAACCTGTGATAGGTGTTCAAATCTTAGGAAATATAAGTGGGTGACATTTGGACTTTTTCAATTCAGGCACCGGAAAGACTTCACAGCCATATCATCATCACCTTATTCCATTACACAAACTACACAGCACTTTTACGGTATAGCTATCACCGATCCTCAACCACAATCGAAACACGAAAAACTGACAGAGGAAAACATTTCCAAAGACCGGCCTCCGAGTGTTGCACCGGTCACCATGCAAGAACAACCAACTAGAAAGAAGAGTGCAAGGCAAGAACCCACAACTTCATTGTCCAACTATTGAGAGCTACCCCTTAGATCCATGATCCGTTTCCCAATTGGCACTGAATGATAGCTCTTTCCTCACGCAGTTTAAACCAAAAAGGTGTGACGGTTACGGGATGTTGAAAGTATCTCTGCTTGAAGTTGTTTATAATAAAACTAGCTGGATACCCGTTCGATGAACTGACTCAAAGAATCGATCGTCAAGTCAATGTAGAATCAGTGCGCACTGCTTGAGAACGGAAGCCTCTCTGTTTATAATGGCGTCAAAGAAGACAGACTTTCCCAAGATTAGATCAAAATGAAACTAATTAAAAACTGAAAATTAAACTATAGTGACTTCAGACTCCTTAATACAATTGTGCACCCATTAAATGATTCTGAACCACCCTTAATTTTTTCAAATTCGAAAGATAAAAGATTCGGAAGTTTTTGGCGACCAAAGAGACAAACTTTCACAAATATAATATATATAGATTACAGTGTTAAGAAAACTAACTGCAGCTTGCGACATTTATCATCATCAGTATTTCACTTGGCACAGCGCTTGTTGGACTTTGACACTTCCATTAAAAAAATTATATAAATAAAATATTCAACCACAGCCGCAGCTGTGGATAATATGGCAGGAAGTCTACAAAACAAAAACTGAAGCAACAGCTCAGACCAGACATCCATATCAAAACTTTATGCTCAACCATCAGAATCCTACCTTCTTTCAGACACCAACAATACATTCAATACGATTAACCTCCAGCATACATACATCACTGCAGCCATGCACTTTTTTCATAACATAAATTTCTCTCTTATAAGCAAATGCCTCATCTAAAAAAAAAGCTGACAAACAAAAAACATTTAGACATGCATAGCAAAGAGGGGAGATTCAAAGCAAAAGATTCTAAGCAGTAACTATGCTACATTAGCGATTGCAGGGAGCACCAAAAGGCATACATCTGAGCCCTGTTGCCCTCAGTTAGCCAATAAAAAAAGCTCTTGCAGCCTTCAACTAACCAATAAAAAGTCAGTAGATCACAAACAGGCCCGCAGTCAAATAAACTGGCCAATCAAAAGGCTTAAAACAAGACAAAAAGCAGCAGATAGATTTATCTTATCACTGAAATGCATGGTTTTCACAACTGATAGCGTTCACTAACAAAAAAAACGTATCAACAAAAATAGACCAAAACAAAGTAATCAATTATAAAAAGATAAAAATAACAAGTAAACATGTTCTTACAAAAATTTTTGTTAGATCAGTAAGCATTTTCCAAAAATGGATATTACAAATAATATTGAGACTTGCTCTAAAAAATTCTTTTTTAAATTAAGAAACAATGTCGTATTGTCTCAAAAATTTCCGTCAAAAAAGTAGAAACATCACCAACCGGAATTTCTCGATATAATCGCACAAAATAAAGCATTCCTCACATGGTAACCCAGATTGTGAAATGTCAACAATGAAGCCGCCGTGAACACAAGACAAGAACCATGTGTGGCGGCAGCAGCTTCTGGATGGATCGGAGAAATGACGCGATCATGATCGTGATCATGCTGGAGCTATGTACAACAGTGCAGATACAGAACATCAGGGGTCTCCAAACCTCTTTTGGCTCCCTGTACTGGCTTAGCCGAAAGCACTCTTTATAGTCTTTTTCTTCTTCTTATTCTTCGCATTCTTGTGCTGGATCTCAGGTGTTGTCAACTGCTGATTCTTCAACCTGCAGTGCAACCAACTCTTACATTTGTGACCATTTTTCCTCCTTTTCTGTCAAAACAAATAGTAAAGTTTCGAGTTTTAGCCATCTACATTTTAGGGCCTGTGAAAACAGCTCATGTGGCTTATTGGGACAACCCATGCCTTAGAATTATAGTTAAAGTGAGCGTAAGTAACTCGTATCTATGTGGCAAAGGAGACTGTATGCCAGGGGTTAACTCTCCTTTCATTTTAACAGCTCGACTGTCAATTCTGGCAATGACCAATACATCGGCAGAAGAGAATATTTCTTCAGCGAAATGAAATAGAAATCATTACAGCAACGTTATCCATGAGGTCATAGGGATTTATCTTTGCCTGCAGCAACTTGAAATGTCCGAAAATATCTGTTTAAATTCATTGAAAAATCACAATGACACCACTTTCTAGCATATATATAGCATTGTAATACAAATTACCATGGTATATCATAACAGCTTTGTGGTAAAAATAAGAAGGGATAATGACAGCTTTGGACCATGCCACTGCGAATTAGAAAGACCAACAATAACTTGGTCAACTTATTTCAAATCCAATCTTTAACACCAGGGACAGCAAACGTGGCATCGACTGCTCTCCGCCTTATGTACTTGACGGTATAAGGAGAGAGTAAGTAAGTAAACTCTACAGTACAACTGGGCCTTTTCTTTGCAAAATTTAGGATATTCTGCCGTGGGAGATAAAAATAAGGTCTACAGACCCCTGAAGTCCAGGAATGGCCAGCAGTGCTCTGTGTGTCCTCTGCTACAATTACATCGATGAACGCTAACGAAAAGACATCAGGACCGCAGCAGAACGATCATAAAGGCTATTATTACATTTATAGATATACATATCATCAGCATTGACATCAGTGGCTATATATTTTATACATATACATTGAACAGTATACGACATGGTCAGAATAAAAAAAGCTAGGGGTGTGGTACGTAAGTGGGGAAGATTACCCAGCTCCTGACATGCTTCATCTCACCTGAAGTGTAACTGTTACGTTTTAAGCCCCCATCAGAACAATCTAGACATAATATTTTAGGCTCTCGGACTCGCAACCGTAAGGTCGTGGGTTCGAATCCCGTCAGGGACCCGACGTTGTGTCCTTGGGAAAGGCACTTTACACGAATTTTCCTCACTTCACCCAGGTGGGAATGGGTACCCGGCTATAGACAGCGAAAGATCTTGTCAGTTTGTTAGTGTTTGAGCGCTTAATCGGCTGCTTGCACTGTATGCTTCCCGGGAAGCTGAGAATGTTTCTGAGTGTTCTATGGTCTGCTGGGGTAATAATATAGTGTAAAGCGCATAGAGCCTGCTGTTGAGCGGGGATATGCGCTATACAAATGCTATCTATTATTATTAATATAATTAACAAGGTGGACTGTTTCCACTCATTCAACATCCCAGCAAACGACAGAGGCACTCTTTTTAAAAAATGTCCCCACTTGAGATTTTAACTCTTGTCTTTTGTGTGCAACAGCTAAGAGCCTAACTATTACACCGTAGACCACAGTCCTATATTATGACACTATCAGTCTCTGGTATTATAAGTTTTATCCTTAGCTTTTCCACACAGGGTGCTTCTTCAAGAGGTGGGATTTCTTTTCTAACTTAACCTCCTCCATCTCCCAAAGGGGTCTACACATCAGCAAACATAACACCAGCAGAGGATCAAAGTCACAAAAGCCACCTCTCATCATCTGTATATACATATATGGAAAAGTCTTGATTTGGATTCTATTTTTATCTTCTCGTATAGATGTTTTTATGCCCCCATCAACGCGTTTTACATCATTTAGGGGGATATAGGGGGAAACCTATGACTCTGCCTGTCAGGGCAGACCAAGCTGAGAAAGATACAATGTCCCAGCAGAAAGACAAGATAATATATTCAACACAAATTCTCCCCATACAGGAATCAAACTGTGGACTCCTGGGTGTGGCGGCAAAGCGCCTAACCGCTGTACCACAGATGCCAGCGGGGAACAGCTTAGATGTCACATGACCACAAACTGGGTAATCAAACCCACGGGAGTGTTTTCTGAAACTGGAACAATATTGCTCATGGTGTACAGGAAAGCTTACAGGAACCGTTGCTGCTTCATGCTGCATAGGAATACGAGAGAAGGGAGAGGGGTTGGTGGTAATATACAGAATAAGGAATATGATGGGGGGGGGGGGGGGGGGGACAGTGTCCATTCATATCATAGGCATCACAGGCAATCCACACATCTGTTAAAACTTGGTATATCATAGTATATCAACTCAGAGATGGTTTTTGTTGGGGGGTTTTATTCTAATTTCTTGATTGCTGTGTTGACATATTATATCTACATTCGTGTTCTCACAAACTGGTTTGTTCCCATTTTTTTTTTTTCACTTCCATTATGAGGAAGATTTAGGATATTTAGCAACAGCTTGTGCAGCTGCTTATTCTTAATATCGGTAAAGTATAACAATGGATTTATTCGTAGCTCTCTTGATCGAACATTTTATCTTGTTTGTACAAAAGTACATAGAAGCACCTTAACAATGAAAGGAGTAAACAGACATCAAAGTCTTTAGGATACATGACCACCCTGCTGTTTACTCGAATTAGATTTCAGGTTTTTTTAAAACTGTTTCCAGCTAATTCATCTATAGTGACACTTTTTCTGATACAGCGTAAAGCTGTAATTCGTGTACAGACACAAAAGATACTTTCACCTTTTTGCTTCCAAGTATTGGTAGGCGATTTCTACCTTCACAGATAAGCAGATTCCATGCGATGACAACGATATTCTTCACATAGGAGGTCATACTCTTCACCACGATCAAAGAACCACTGGACAAGCACAAACATCTGGTGAATCCACTGGAGAACACTTTCATCACTGGAGGTCACAATATACAGTGCATACCAAATCAGACCAAAACATTCAATCATAACCATAAGCCTTTTTTTATAACATGACGAAACTAGAAACTAAAAAAGAAAAATTTCATTTCACATATACATTATGCTATCAACACAAACCTGTGCTTTTTAAAAACATCTTACAAAGTGACAATGTCAAATTTCATATAAAATATTTTTCAAATCATAACAACAGGATCATGGGTGGATTTTTCGTTTCGGTTCATCAGGAGTCCAACAGTGAGCTACCATGAAGGAATTCCACACCTATTTTCAACACGAAATGCGAAAAAAAAAGAATGTTCAAGTGACAGACGGGACACAGACTCACTTAGGCATCGAACACCTGTATGGTTCATATCAGATAGGCAAAACGATTTCCCTTGGTGGCCCTACTGAAATCTGAGAAAGACACTTTCTCCATTCTCTCTCAACATATTGATGTGAGCTGATAGCAAACTCGAGGGAAATCAGTAGAGAGAGACAGCTACATAGATTTTTACCCCCTCCCCCCAAATTTGTGTTTCATAAGATTTTGCTGTAAACCCTCACAAGAGCTTGAAGTATCTATCTGTGTGTTCATTATAATCGAGAGGAAAATCACCTGAGGGGAATCTCGAAACATATCTATCTCTACCCTTATCCCAAAACGAAAAAAAACAACCCTTTAATAGTGGGATACTCAAATAGATTCCGCAACATAGTTGTAGCAGGTGTTTACTACAGCAAATTGAAAGACAACAACTGCTTGGATTTCACTATTGGAAGAAATCTCCCTCAATGCACAGATATCCCCAGGGCGTTCCTAGGTCTATCTACCTTTGCGACAGGGAAGAAGTGTTTCCACCAATACCATTAATACTTTTACAAAGACTTAAACGCTTTACTCTTAAAGCTAAAAATTGTTTTATTTTTATTTTTATTTCTTTTTTTTTTGGTGGGTTTTTTTGGGTGACGCCTTTAATGGGTGACAACTGCAGCAGCTTAAATCTCTTCTATCACAAATAAAACACAAGGCAATCTGGTAGTGTCCTTGCATGGACAAACACTACACATCACATATAATAGAGGGGGAAACAACCCTAAACTCGGAAAACACATCCCCTGTGCAACAAATATTCCCATGAGGGGAGTAACGACTTCTTATGATTTTTTTTAAAAAACAACCTGCGAGCAAAATTGAAAAAAATCCCATGAATCCATTTCTGGATTTACTAGACACATGAATTTTAATCTTCACACTGCACCCATGAAAAAAAAGAAGACAATTTAGAGAAACTTTGGAAAAAACACGAACCTGACAATCGTGATAAGAAAAGTTTCACTTATTCATCCCAAGGAACAGCAAACGAAACAAAACAAAAAAGGCTCTCAATTCCATTAAATACTGGGAGTAAACCGACAAAATGTAGGAGCCCCCCCTTAATTTCAGTCCCCATTGGAATAAGCTTTTCAAGACACCGTCACACAAAGTCTAATGAATGCCACTGTCAATAAAAGTTCCACAAAATTTTAACACGAGTGTAATAGTCAACGAGTTCACAAAATATTCCATTTTGAAAGACGTCAGCTTAAAATTCACTAACTTTATATGACATAAAACATAAAATACAAACACAATAAGTAGAGTCAAAGATTATCATTTGGAACAGTGTGAGGTCACATCATAAAAACAATCATTACATAAAAAGATTTTAGCAAAGTGAAATGTGTTCAAACATTTTCCAGAGATTTTATAAAGAAAGGGTGCAGTTTTCAATCATAACATCTAATTATAATGTATCATCTTACTCATCTAGGATATAATCAAGATCTACTATTTGAAAGTATATCTATCTCTTTAATAGAATAAGTAAGAAAAACTAACCATCATACTAATATATCAACATGGCCGCTCGATTAATTTACCTCTCTGTAAATCGCATAATAGCCAAGGGGTGCCGTACTGCATACACTAGACAAGAACATTCCTTCCAGAACTTATTGGACATGCACCTGAAACGACCTCCTCGACATCACATCCACACATCAGGATACAAAGGCCAGACAAGAAATAAGAAGTGTGATCCATCCAAGAATCACAGAGTTCAAGAAAATTCCCTGTGAAGGGCAAAACTTAAAAAATCCATAACTTACCAGTAAGGTGCACACAGCTGCGATTTGAAATAGGTAAAATGGAAAAAAAATGGCACCCCTATCAGCTGCTTTCTCTCTCTCTCGCTCTTCTTCTCTCCTCAAACCTGCGACATGATCTCGGGCGAAGCAGCCGGAGCAGCCTCCCCTGTTGTCCCCGGCGACGACAAGGGGACCACACTGGGTGCTGTGGGGGACGACGGGACTACAGCTTCGTCCAGGCACATGCTGCGACGATGACGCTCCTGCAAGGCTTTCAAGATGGAGAACCCCCTATGGCTCTCCTCAATAATGCACGCATCGGCTTTCTCATCCAGCATGTCCCCATTCTTCGAGGGACTCGACAGCTTGGAGGAGCCCGCAGACGCGGCTGAATCTCGGGACTTTGGGGATTTCGGGGATTTCGGCCTCAGATTAGGCTCGTCCAAATTCAGCTTCGAAGCCCCATCGTTGTCGGGAGTTGCCACTTCTGAAGCCACCCTGCTCCCGTCGCGAGTAGACAGACCAGAATCTTCCGAATTCTCCCCGGCCGCTCTCTCATCATTTGTCGGGGTCCCCTCGGACGACGACTTCTTCTCGTTGTCTGCGTCCTCGTCGACGCTCATGGAAGCGATCTTGCTGGTCATGTAGTTTATCCTCTGGGCCAGCGTGTCCATGAACCTGTTGGTCTTGTCATCCTGCGAGGGGAACATCTTCCTCCTCTCCTCCCCTTCCCCGGTAAGTCCGTCCTTATCCGGGCTGGGCGAGGCTTGCTTGGAGTAGCTTCTCCAGGGAAAGACAACGTTAACCGTTTTTGCCACCTCGTCAACATCCCTGCGGGTGTATCGGACTGTTGGATCCGAGCGAGACGCGATGCCAAGCGCGGGAATGGTGGGCATCGGGGCAGATAATATGTCTCTGTTCTTTGCATGAGTGGACAGATTCTGTAGAATAACAAATAAATCAAATAGCAAATAAATTTTGACGGGCTAAGGTGTGTCAAAGTCAAAGAATGAGAAAAAATCCACAGGAGCATGTTTATCTAACGTACATATAAAGCTAGAGAGGCCAAAACTGTAAAAATCATGAATGAAACCAGCTTATCTTCCAAAATAATTTTTGCTTTATTCAATATTCCATACTGATTTGAGGATAAAAGGAAAATGACAAGGGTATAGAAACAACTGGGGGGGGGGGGGGGGGGGGAGGAATAAACCACTACGACCTAGAGCCTCCATGAAAACACCTGCCAGTGAAGCTGCAAAGCCAAAAAACTCTTTCTCTTCTGTTTCCTCCACACACACACACACTCTCAGTCTGAGTTCTCCCTGCCAGCTAAGACTGAAGCAGCAAGCCTCCTAAATATCTACATAATTTGTGGTTTTGTCGTTTTTAAAAAATAAAAATCCTGAGAACTTAAGAGAACTCAAGAAAGCTTGATGAAAGTCTTTGAGTCAAAAAAAATTTAGTTGTCATTTAGTGCAGAGATAAAAGACAGAGAAACTGAAACAATTTAATTTCAGTAAGAGTTTTACAGCACTTGCAACACAATAGAGTCATATAAATGCCGAAGATTAGAGGTGTTACAAGTCTGAAACAGAGAAAAACATTGTTAGTAAGACCCTTCAGTTGTACTTTCCAAACACCCAAAAGCACCAAACCCCCCCCCCCCCCCCGGCCCCCCCCCCCCAAACTTGACCCACCTCTAAGGCCTTGGCGGTGTCTAGTGAGGCCTGGGCGTTGGTGGAGTGGGCAGAGGAAAGGGACACTGTCATTTAGTGAAGGGAAAAGTAAGACAGGGAGACTAAACCAACAGACAAAAAGAAAATAAAACCGATCCTTCAGCAGCACCTTTGAAACACCCAAAAAACCCACCAAAAATCTTGACCCACCTCTAAGGCCTTGGCAGTGTCTAGCGAGGCCTGGGCGTTGATGGAGTGGGCAGAGGAGAGGGAAGCCGTCTCCACCTGCTCCATCTCGTTGAACAGCTTCATGGAGTTCTCCAGAAACTCTTTCAGCTCTTCGTCTTTGGCCCGGTCAGCCGCAGTTTCTCCTCTCTGGGAACAAACATCACCATATGAAGTTTTTTGTTTTAGTAAGAGTTTTACGGCACTTGCAACACAATAAGAACATATAAGTGCTGAAGATTAGAGGTGTTACAAGAGAGTAACAAACACAAAAAAGAAGCAGGGGAAATAAAGATGATAGAAGTTTGATAGGAAAGAAGAAGCAAACCACACCAGAGCACCCGCCAACCACCCACCGAGGTGTGTTTGTTTGTTTGTTTGAGTAAAGAGAAGCACATCCACACAATAATGGTCATTTAGTGGACAGACAGACAGACATGAACAAAAGAGGGAAAGTAAATAAGTAGAACCAGCCAGAAGCACCCTCCAACCATCCACGATATGAAGTGCGAGACGCAAATGCAAAGCAGCTACAATATCTGCTGATTTTCACGTACATGTACTACTACATGTATCCTGGATTCTGAAGCGACAAAGGGAAAAAAAGGCATTGCACTTATGTTATCTACTGATTTTTTAATACATGTACTACTAAAAGTAACTTGAAATTCTGAAGGCATAAAGGAAGATATTCTGACATCAATGAGAGCCAAACAGTGGTAAAATAGTGATATAGCCTAATAATGGGGTCAAACAAGAGGCAAACAACAAGAATTTTATTCCATAAGTTTTATAAGCAGCTGCAATTATGGCATGTCTCTACAGCTACTCATCAGTAAGGGACAACCGTCTTTTTAGTTTAGTTTTAGTACCATTTCTGCAGCATTTGCAACACAACACGGTCAAATAAGTGTCAAAGATTAGAGGCGCTTTTAGAAAGTAACACAAAGGAAAGATGAGGATATCAGAAGATATTTGATAGAAAAGAAGAAGCAGCAAACCACACCAGAGCACCCGACAATCATCCAGAGCAAGTCTATGAACAACAGCTTTATAAGCAACAAACAGTAAGGAAACACAACAACAAAAATCAGTAATGAGTTACCATTCCCGTGCAGGTTGGGTCTGCCCCAGCGTCCAGCAGCAGGTACACCATCTCCTCATTGCCACAGTCCGCGGCCCAGTGCAGGGCTGTCCACTTGGTCTGTTGACACAAACACACATAATGATGATGATAATAATCATAATAATAATAACCATCATAATATTAATAATAATAATAATAATAACATTAACATTTAAAAAATAATAATAGCAGCAGCAATAATCATTATCATTATAACAATGATTATCATTATCATTAAAAATAATAATAATAATAATAATAATAATAATAATAATAATAATAATAATAACAACAATAATAATAATAATAATAATAATAATAATAATAATAATAATAATAATAATAATAATAATAATAACAACAATAATAATAATAATAATAATAATAATAATAATAATAATAATAAAAAATGATAATAGACAGCATTTGATAGCACAAATTCCCACTCACCAGCAAGCTCTATGAGCTTTACAATCTATATTATTACCCACTTAGGCCGCCCTCTTATAAAAAAATATATTAAAAAACCCCAAACAACTAAATTATTAGATAGCTTACTTGGGCACTGATTAAGAAAAAACACCCAAACAAATAAACAAATAATTTTCAAAAACACACTTACGTATAAACTGACGCAGTTGAGATCACACGCCCCCTTAATAAGAGCGTCTGCAACCTCCACATGGTTATGGTAGGCAGCAAACATCAGAGCTGTGAAGTTCGCCTGTCGACAAATACACACACACATGACATAAAGTAGTCAGGGTGAACATATTACCCAACAACCTAACCAAAGTTTGTCGACAAACACACACACACATGGCATCAAGTTATCTAATAAAACAGAGAAGAGGTCTACATATATTCCTCGATGAAAAAAAGAGACTTTCACACTTATACCCTCAAAAATGCACTTACTCCCCCTCACTATCTCACACACACAAACACTAACACACACACAACAACACACACGCAAACACTAACATACACACAAGCACACACATATCCGCCCCATAAACATTAACACACACACACAAACACACACACCCACCCAAACCCACAGACATACACACCAAAACCCACACACAACCTTCCACAAAAGACTCACCTCGCCCAGATCAGCACACTTCAGGTCTACATCACACCCGGCAGCGATGAGCTTCTGTGTGATCTGCCCCAGCACTCTCTCGTCCTCATGATTCTTGGACCGTGCTGTCTCCACAAGCGCTGACCGGCCATCCTGGTGGAACAATTCGTTTCAGTAAAAAATAATCATAATCATAATCATAACGATAATGAACACAATCATGATAATGATATAAGTTTAAGTTTTAGTAGAGGTTTTACGGCGCTCGCAACTGCATAAGGTCATATAAGCGCCAGAAGATTAGAGGCGTTACAAGAGAGTAACAAACATAAAAAAGAAGAAGGGGAGATAAGGACGACCTAGAGCCTCCATGAAAACACCTGCCAGTGAAGCTGCAAAGCCAAAAAACTCTTTCTCTTCTGTTTCCTCCACACACACACACACTCTCAGTCTGAGTTCTCCCTGCCAGCTAAGACTGAAGCAGCAAGCCTCCTAAATATCTACATAATTTGTGGTTTTGTCGTTTTTAAAAAATAAAAATCCTGAGAACTTAAGAGAACTCAAGAAAGCTTGATGAAAGTCTTTGAGTCAAAAAAAATTTAGTTGTCATTTAGTGCAGAGATAAAAGACAGAGAAACTGAAACAATTTAGTTTTAGTAAGAGTTTTACAGCACTTGCAACACAATAGAGTCATATAAGTGCCGAAGATTAGAGGTGTTACAAGTCTGAAACAGAGAAAAACATTGTTAGTAAGACCCTTCAGTTGTACTTTCCAAACACCCAAAAGCACCAAACCCCC